CCATCCAGTGACAACGTCGGTAGCTGCATATACGAGTTTATCCTTGACCCAGATGCAAACGTAGCGTTGGATACATGGTTTTGCAGATATGTGGACGTGTTTGAAGGAGACTTTGCTAACAGAGACGGCATATTGAAGGTCAGACTGTTGTTGAGAAATTACAAAGCTCTCTATCAGCGGTCTGTCTTGTCTTCGCGCGTTGGTGATATTGTTGTGGTGGTGGTTGACGTTCGTATTTGAGTTAGAGTCGATTCGTTAGCACTTTATGTTCGCATCGTTCGTTGACTGGTCATAACAAGACGCTTGACTAACCTTACTAATTTATGCAAGCAATTACCCTTTCAGCGAATGGATTATAGAGCTTATGAGCCTCAGTCACAATCAAGGGTTTCTAAGATGTATGCAAAATTGGGTATCTATCCTCCATCTCTAAATTCTCATTTCACTCTAGTCCACTGAGATCATACATTTTACACTTATGATGCTTGAAATATTGATTTGTGGCGAATTTATTCTGCCATTAGGGAAGGACGACGCAAAGACAACAGCGGACATGCTCACACCACTATTGCAGAAGGTCTGGAAGGAAGGGAAGGTATCTGCCCACTGATTTGAAGAAGGGTTACCTTGTCAAACTCCCGAAGAAGGGAGACCTAAGTCTTTGCAAAAACTGGTGCAGAATCATTCTCTTGTCCACCCCAAGCAAAGTATTAAGCCGCATCATGCTGGAGAGGCTACAGGATGCACTGGATTCAAAACTACGACCGGAACAGGCAGGCTTCAGGAAGTACAAATCATGTACAGACCAAATTGTAACGCTTCGCATCATCATAGAACAGAGTATAGAATGGCAGTCGACTCTACACCTCAACTTTATCGACTTTGAGAAGGGCTTTGACAGCGTCGACCGAGAAGTAATTTGGAAACTGCTTCACTACTACGGAGTACCGCAAACCTTTATCCGCCTCATTCAACAACTATATGAAGACGCGACATGCCAAGTCATTCACAATGGGAAGCTCAGTGAGGCTTTTGAAGTGAAGAAAGGAGTGAAACAAGGATGCCTACTATCACCCATGATATTCCTGATTGTGGTGGACTGGATCATGCAGTAAACAGTGGGGCGTAGTGAGAAGAGGGGGATACGCTGGCTGGACTGTGGAAAAGAACCTAGAAGATTTGGATTTCGCCGATGACTTGTGCCTGATGTCACATAAACTTGAAGATGTACAGGCGAAAAACTAACAAGTTGATAGAAGAGGTAGGGCAGTGCAGCGAAGACTGGATTTCAAGTGAATGTAGAGAAGACAGAGGTGATGAAGATACCCAACAATAACAACAACAAGCTCCAATCACCATCAATGGGAGAAACCTAAAGGAAGTAGCCTCTTTCACCTACACATACCTAGGCAGCACTTTTTCTACTACAGGTGGCGGCACACATGAGGATGTCAAAGTCAGAATCGGAAAAACAAGACAAGCAGGCGTTGATTAACCTGAAACCAGTGTGGAGATCTTCTGCACTCAGCATAAAGTGTGAACAAGATGCGGATTTTCAACACCAACGCCAGTCAAGTCAGTCAGTCAGTGCTTCTATGTGATGGTTGAGAGACTTGGTGCATTACGAAAGTGATTTCCAACAAACTGTAGATATTCATGAACAACTGCTGCCTAACTGGCTTGTTACTGAAGCTCAGAACGCCGGAAAGAATAAACAACAAGGAAGTTGAGATGGTTTGGATTGGGCATACATTGAGAAGGCCTACTGGGGAGATCAGGCCAGGCTGTGGAGTGGAACTCCTGATGGGAAGCGAGGAGTTTGGCGTGCTAGTTGAGGGTGACATGGAGGAGGAAATGAGAGCTTGTGGGCTGTGGTGGAGCCAGGTTGAAAAGACTGCAGTGAAGAGAGTGAAATTGAGACGTGCTACTGAAGTTGTATGTTCCACTACGAACCCAAGGGACAAATAATAATAATAATAATTAGGGAAGGACGTAGACTGGTTATCATTGAATTGCTGGTACAAATGTGTTTATCACTTGAGGCCTCCAAGGTATCCGTTTCTTCGTCGTGAATCGATCTTTATCATACATTTGCCAAACATTGATATCATAGATGAGTTCATAAGTCTATTATCATTATTTCCCTTTTGGGTTCCTAGTGGAATATAAGGCTTCAGCAGCACGTCACTATTTCGTTCTCTTCTCTGCAGTTTTTTCAACATGGCTCCACGACAGTCCACGTGTTCTCATTTCTTCCTCACACCATCTCCTCCATGTCACCCTCAACTCGGATGCCCAACTCGTCGCTTCCCATTTGGGTTCCACTCGACCGCCTGGCCTGACGCGTGATGTCCCCAGTCGGCCTTCTCAGTGTATGTCTAATCCAACCCATCTCCACTTTCTTCTGCACATTTGTTGAGCAATAAGTTCCTGCTTTGTTGGTTCGTTGCCAGGCCAGAGTTGCTTATTCTTTCTGACCATCTGATCCTCAGTTTCGATTGAGTGTAGACGGTAGCTGTTGATGTATGATATCTGTAGTTTGTTGTAAATGCTTTTGGTAACGCGCCTAGTCTCTGAACCGTCACATGGAAGCACTGACTTAGTGTTTAAAATCCCCTATCTTGTTGTTTATGTTGAGTGGAGTGGAGTGGAGTGTATTAGATCTCTACACTGATTATTTCAGAATAATGCTGGAAGGCCTATCTTGTTGTCTTTCTGATGATGGCTTTGATATCCTCATGTGTGACTGTGCCGCCTGCAATTGAAACGATGCTGCTTTGGTAGGTGGGTAGGTAGGTAGGTGAGAGAGACAACTTCGTCTCGATTTCTCCCGTTGATGATGATTGGTGTTCGTTGTTGTTGTTGTTGTTGTTGTTGTTGGTTTGGTATCTTCATCACCCGTGTGTTCTCTACGTTCATCTGAATAAAGTCCGGTCTTCGCTGCTTCTCGAGTTAGCTTGTTTTCAGCTGTAGATCTTTGAGTTTGTGCGAGAAGACATTAGATATAAATCATCATTGGTGAAAGCCAAATCGTGTAAGGTGTTTTCATCGGTCAAACAGCGTGTGCTCATCTCACAGTTTGTTGTATAATCCAGTCAACCCTCAATCAAGAAGATGATCAGTGATGGTAGGCAACCTTGTCTTACTATAGGTGTAAAACTTGGGCACTGTGGTAGAATTTAATTCCATATTAGATTTGTTTATTTGATTTATAACACACAGTAAGTGGTCTAGTATTATTTAGTTCATGATGTTTCCAGCATAAATTACTCTATTGCTCATAATCATATCAGCATATAATCACATCACCTTCGACATTTGATTTCTATAGTTACGTCACCACATATGAGTTGTTTTTATTGGTAGGAAAATCTTCCATGCGTCCCTGGTATAGGTGTTGCATCATTCATATTACAGGTGTGTTGTGTGTTGGTTGATTCGATGAACAAGATTCAGTAATCAATCTATCCCTCTCTCTCTCTCTCCACCTAATTTTACTGACTAAGGTAAAGTGGCTTTATCTCACCCAGCATATTGTGTGGTTGTGTTAATACATCCAATGCAATAGCCGAGTTTTTTTTTCTAGATTATTGATCTTATTTAGGTCTGTTATTCTATATTCAGCTAAGTTCGTATGTTCGGCTATTCTAACTGACCCCGACCGACTGGTTTGACGTATATACTTGACCTCACTCTCAGTCATTACATGAAATTCGACAGATTATATTATTTTGCTTAACTGATTGTATGGGATCTTAAGCTAGATGACAAAGTTTATCTCAGAGATAAACCTTGTCTTACACGTATCTTCACTTCGAAAGCATCAGTGAGCTTTGTATTCTGAATAACTTGGCACTTAGCATCATATAGCTGTTGAATGAGGTTGATAAAGGTTTGTGGCAGTCCGTAGTGTTTAAGCAGCTGCCAAGTTACTTTTCGGTCGATGCTGTCGAAGGCCCTTTCAAAATCGATGAAATTGAGGTAGAGAGTTGACTGTCATTCTACGCTCTCTTCTATGATGATGCATAGCGTTGCAACTTGATCCGCACATGATTTGTTTTTCCTGAAACGAGCTAGCCTATTTCGGTCGTAATTTTGAATGGAGAGCAGGATGATGTGACATAATATTTTGTTTTGTGCGGACAGAAGCATGATTCTGCACCAGTTCTTGCAAAGACTTCGCTCTTCTTTCGTTGGGAGTTTGACAAGGTAGCTCTTCTTCCAGTTATAAGTATCCGATCCTAATTTCTTTGACAGCGTAGTCTACGTGTTTTCGAGTAAGCAATACTAGGGTTTTGATGTAGGAATACAGAATTATAGATGATTGTTCACAAGCATATACTATTGAGGCTATGTGTAACGTATGTCAAGTCATTAGTCACCTCCATATGAAGTGTCAGTTGATGTAGAGATATTTCACTTTAAATCTTCTCGTCAAAATGAAACATCCCACCACTTCAAAACTTCTTGACTGGCTTATCTTAGGCTGGAAAAATTCATGCTTCAACGGATTCAATAAGCGGGTATAAAATTTATCACACTGATGCAAGTGTCTTTACTTTTATCATATCTATCGGTTTCTTCTCGATATTTATATCTCTGTATTCGGAATTAACAGCTGAACTACACTACATTTGATGTTTTTTTTTAAAATACTTGCTAAACCAACCTAATCCACTGTCAGATATTGTTTAACTGAAGTACTTGCATAAAATTCACTAATAAATTATTTTCGAATGACCTATAAGTTGACCAAATATATTTAATCAATACCGTTTATATGCATACTAGATGGAATGGAATCCATTACCTGCAAATAAATATGATTAATCTGGCTGATAGTTCTTGGAAATTTATATGACCTTATATAGTATTACATTTAAAATAATCGATTTTCACATGAAATCTTTATTGATTTTTATATGTGTTAATTAATTAATTAATTACTTGTAACAATATCTTTATGTGAATTTGAAAGTAAACGGGAAAAATAACAATTTTTAAAAGTTGACATAAGACATTAATCGTATCTTACTGTTGATGACATCTCTAATCCACCGTTCAGAAAATCGAGTTTTTCCTGGTCTATTAGAATGAACAATTAAAAAAAAGGAGGGAAAGCAGATGAACTATATATACTGGATGTAGGTTGTGCTATATCTCAAATTAACAGAACTAGAAACTACGAACCTGGATTCGATCTCTAGTGGGGCGGGATCATGGGTGTTCACTGCTGACGAACCCCATACCAGTCGGACGAAACAGCTATACAGTGATCTCAGGTTTCCGATGTTTCTCCAGCTTATATCAGTCCATGATCAATTCCAAACCAAAATAATGATTGATCATCATAGATAGAGTATTCGATTGTATTCTGTTTGCTGATACTTACCAACCTATCTAACCTATTATTATAAGTTATATTATCTGCAGTATTTTATCCAACGAACAAAATACCTCCAAGTTAGTCTTTTTTACCCGTCTCACTTTTCGCTCCCGCTTTTTAAGTATATATTAAATAAATGAGTTTTGATTTCAGGCTACTGCAGTGGAATTCATGACGCGCATTTCCCACCTATTTGAATTTACCAGCCTTCTGATGAGTGATGCTATCCCTGACAGGACTCGAGCTCAGGTTCAAACTCCAGAATCTTATACTCTAGATCATTGAGTCACACCAGCGATTCGCTGTGTAATAGGCCACGATTGATCTCCTGTAGGAATGGATAATGTACATTGACTGGTCGCAAGAGAGTAACCAACGTCATCCTGCCAAGTTCTAGTTGCTGATCGATCATTTTTCAATGTGGCCACCAGGCTAGGTGACTCACCAACATGATGCACTGAGAGAAATGTTAGTTGAATAGAAGCAGCCGATAGGAAGTTATTAATCTTGTTAGAACTCGTCAACACGGTGTTTCTGCAGTCTCTATGGAACTTTTGTCTTATATTCCTTCGTATTGTATTTTAACAGTCATATTTGAGATTGATACAACTTATTGACATGATCAATTATAGGAATCATACTTCGTTGAGAAAAAAACTTATTTCAGTGATGAAATCTATCCAAACACATAGAATACTGATGGGTAGATCTTTCAGGACAACCAGTTGTTATGTTGCATACAATTATATCATCATTATATGATCATATTTCTTTTCATGGAAGTGTTTTGTATGAATAACGCACACACACACACACACATAAATTGTAGGTATGTTAATATATTCAAACATTCGGTATGAGTACTTTGAATCCTCTTCCGACGTAATCCAACTTACTATAGCATTGTACGTCTTCATTGTAACCTCAGGCAACAGCAAGTGAAGATAACATCAATATTCAATAATACCGTTTATATTATAGTAAAAAGGATTATGGTCAATGAGAATACCAACAAATCCTTCTAGATAGGCTGTTAATCGCAACACTCTGAAAAACAGTTGAACTGATCTACAACATCAATTCAGCTGCCCAACTTCTTGATTCAATTGAATGCTGTTGCTTTTCCTCTAAATCTTATCAAAGTTAAGAAGTCTGTTTCATACTAGAAACGATACAAAGCAGTATGATCTGTCATCAAACATTTTTAATGATGCATTAATACCTATGTATGGGAATTAATTGACAGAAGAGGCAGCGAAGGCGGGACTTAAAGTGAATGTGGAGAAGACGGAGATGATGAAGATACCCCAACAACAACAAGCTTCAATCACCATCAATGGGAGAAACCTAAAGGAAGTAGCCTCTTTCACCTACACATACCTAAGCAGCACTTTTTCTACTACAGGTGGCGGCACAGATGACGATGTCAAAGTCAGAATCGGAAAACAAGACAAACAGGCGTTGATTAACCTGAAACCAGTGTGGAGATCTTCTGCACTCAGCATAAAGTGTGAACTCACTCTGGCTGGCAACGATCCAACAAGGGAGCTATCACTATGCACTGGAAGGAAGGAAGTGGAGATGGATTGGATTGGGCATACACTGAGAAGGCCGATTGGGGAGATCAGGCGTCAGGCCAGGCTGTGGAGTGGGACCCCTGATGGGAAGCGAGGATTTTGGCGTGCGAGTTGAGGGTGACATGGAGGAGGAAATGAGAGCTTGTGGGCTGTGTTGGAGCCAGTTTCAAAAGATTTCAGAGAACAGAACGCATTTGTGAAGTGCTACTGAAGCTGTATGTTCCATTAGGAACCCAAGGGACAAATAATACTAAAATGGGAATCAAAGGTACTCCAGTCATAATGATGACGGCATCACTACTGTAGAGGAGGTGATTTAACGAAACCCACTTGTAAGATTATGATTTTCAAGCCTACCTAAGTTGAGGAGTATAAAGTACTTAAACCAATGACGGACCTGATGTTTTGGAGATCCATTGGTGTATATGGCCTTCTATACTTTCCTCTACCTTAGATACTGACTAACCATAGGTGTCTGATTGAATTACAGCACGCAAATGACAGTATCAACTTGTGAGAAGACACGAACAAAAAGAATGTGCTTCAGACGAATAGAATATACTTCGATTATTCAGAACTGGTTTGGACTAACCCCTTGTTTAAGGACGAGCAGTAGAGCAGTAGAACATCATAACCACTTCACTTAAATTGAGCTCACTGATGACAAGATCTCAGATGGCATACATAGGATCGGTCTAACTGCTGTCTAACCGTGATAATTCTACTACTCATAATACATCTGATCAACTACCAATATACATGTATACGCTGTCGAAGTATACTTAACCGATACATACCTGTTGGATATAAACATTAGAAGTAGAAGATATCACGAAGACACATGATTCCTACCACACATATCTCTGTAGCTCGACTCGCCTCTGTTGCAACCACAAAATGAACAGTCTCGAGGTTAGTTGTACAACAGTAGGCAAGGGAACCGAGTCACTCAATGAACTAGTCATCTCTCATCAACTCAGATGACTTCCATATGTCTTGCACACACACCATGTCATCACTTATCCCAACATGCCACGTTCTCTGAAGTGTGATCAGATTGGGAAAACACTGAGAGTGACCACATCAAGGAATGTGACTAGTCCATGCAGTCTATGTCTGTCAGTCAGTTTACACTCTGTGTGTGTGTGTGGAGACGTAGGCTATGTGGTTTGGATTCTCGTGATGATTGTAATTATTATTTGGTGATTGTAGACAGTATCACTGAGAACCGATGGGATATTATGTCTATACACTGGTTATCATGTTCGAAGTTGTGAAAAGTTTATGTACCATCATTTAGTTATTTTCGTCCCTCTCATACTTGTGTAAGTAAGTATCCCAACATCATTCTTCTTTCTATTCGTGTGTTATTAGGGGGTATATTTCAAGTGGAAATGATGCACTTGTGTACAACGTTGTACGCTGATGTGTCTGCCTGTCATTCTGAAATGTTATGCAAACTTCTCAATGAAGTAGTTTCATCCGTTGAAGATATTCAAGAAAAGTTGCTTTAGAATAAAATATACTGAATGGAGAAATAAAGATCATCAGTTTGACTATCTGAGGTAGCCACAGTTTGGTCGACTTGTATTATTGATACCGAATGATGATTGCAGGTGAAGTGACAAATTACTCTAAAGCACGACTCAAACCAATGAACACTGGATATCTAGCCTGTGTAGTTTACCAAATCAACTGCAATACCGGACTGGAAATCCAGTGGTTGCTGTATTGAATATTGCCACAGCCCAATCATCATCATCACCCAGTATCAATACAATAAAACTCCTGTAGTTCGTTATATACGAACTTCTGGCTAAAAATATCACATCAAAGTGTTATACTAAAATCAAACACATTTATGATTTTGATGGTTACGTGTTCTTTGAGCTGGATGACTGAGTCGTGAAACTTTCATTACCATTCTAGACAACGTCATCATCACAAACTTCACAAAGACGGTGGGGAGTTCAAAAAAACCATTATATTCGGATTGAGGGTGTGTGAGGATTTATTGATCACAACTTGATATTTATCATGGAATGGCGTCAGTTGCCAAGTCATTTAAAACTGGAAAGCTGTTTCGTCCTGCTGTGACACTCGTTAGCAGTAGACACCAACGATTAAACCCAAGATATTGGGATTTAATAGAGCCCACATCACCATCCAGCTGTTAGGTCGGAAGTAGATGGTTCACACTCTTTTGTTATTATTCTCATTATTTGTCCCCCAGGTTCCTAGTGAAACATATGGCTTTAGTAGCACGTTACCATTTCACTCTCTTCTCTACACATTTTTCAACCTGGCTCCATGACTGCCCACAAGCTATCATTTCTTCCGCAGACGATCTCTTCCATGTCACCCTCGAACCCCCAGCTCGTCGTTTCCCATTTGGGTTCCACTAGACGACCTGGCTTGGCACGTGATGTACCCAAATGGTCTTTTTAGTGCATGTCCAGTTCAATCCATTTCCACTTCTTTCTTATATTTGTTGGACGATAAGTTCCTGATTCGTTGGTTCGTTGCCAGGCCAGAGTTGCTTATTCTTTCTGACCATCTGATCTTCAGTATCTAGTGAGCGTAGACGGCAGCTGTTGGTGTATGATATCTTTAGTTTGTTGGAAATGTTTTTGGTAACTCGCCAAGTTTCTGAACCATCACATAGAAACACTGACGTGACTGGCATTAGTATTTAAAATTCAGATCTTGTTCACGCTTTATGCTGAGTGTAGTGTAGTGCAGTAGATCTCTACACTGATTATTTCAGAATATTGCAGGAAGGCCTGTGTTGCTGTGTTTCCGATGCTGGCTGGCTGGTTTTGATATCCTCATGTGTGACTATGCCGCCTGTAGTTGAAACGATTCTGCTTTGGTAGGTGGGTAGGTAGGTAGGTGAGAGAGACAACTTCGTCTCGATTTCTCCCGTTGATGATGATTGGTGTTCGTTGTTGTTGTTGTTGTTGTTGGTTTGGTATCTTCATCACCCGTGTCTTGTCTACGCTCACATGAATGAAGTCCCATCTTTGCTGCCTATTCTGTTAGCTTGTTTCTGGCTATAGATCTTCGAGCCTCACACTCTGTTACTTCCGTCAATTTTTGATATGGCATAACCATCATGTAAT